TTAACCCTTTCCTCCCTCCACGTATCAATTAATTTCAGAGGGCAAAATTCGGGTAATCCCCCGTCTCGTGTAATGAATCATTTATTTAAAGGCTTTCGATTGCAGATTGGCTCGGTCATAAATCATACATTTTTCGCTTCTTTCGCTCAAGGAATATTAAATTCAATTTTAATTAGAACGGTTACAAAAGCCCAAAGCCGTTTTTTGAAGCCAAGAAAAAGAATTTTGATTCTGGCTTGTTGACTTAGATAAATAATTGAGGAATTTTTCGTAAAACCGGAAACATATTTTCAATATGGCTGCTATAAGAAAATCGCAATAAACCGCTACGATTACCCATCTCCTGCTCCAAACATAAACAACGTTGGCTTTTTAAACCGATCTTCAATTTTTATTAGACAAATGAAAGATGTCGCTTGGAATTATTGGTCCATTTCAATTTTATCGACATATCCGGACGAAATAATAAAAAGTGCTTCTTGTTGAAAATACTCTACGATATTTCATTCGGAGACCAAACAGGAGTTTTTTCACGAGTATTATGTACGTAGGGAATTTGATTGATGAAATGCGGCAAGTTCATTACGAATCTCCGACCAAAGTCTGCAATAAATGGCTCGGAAACGAATTTAATAATTATTTTCGGCGGAAATGAAAGTCGCTGCACGAATTATTCACGCTGACACATTTGCAAACTATGCTTTTAAATCGAATAACAGCAAATTTATTCCCAATTCAATAGAGCGGGATACGGATTGATTGCAGACATTAGTCGCCACACAAATTATTCGGATAACGTAAATAAGCGGCAAAGAGGGCGCCCGGAGGCATGTGAGCGATTCCACCAATCAGCAATCGAAACAGATCAGCAGAAAAAATGATTTTTTTCAACCTCAAGTTTTCAAGTTGAGTTTGGAGTTTTGCTAATAAACCAATAATGCTTTTTTAATCTGTTAAAGGTCGGACTTTTTTAATGTGGGCAAATTTGGTCTTGTTTTCTTTCAATTAGCTTTTCTCCTGTCCGAAAATATTTCTAAAAGGGGTGCTTTTTTGTTTTTTGTTTTATAATATCGCCTCAGAGTGTTGCTTTTCGTCATGTTTTGTTTCGGATTAACGTAAAGATCCGCTTTGAGGCATATAATAAAGTACTTTTGAGGCACCGTACATAATACAAGAAAACGCGATTTAAAAGTTTCGACTTAAATTGACGGATGGTTGGTTCAAAACTCTCTCGTGTAGTGAAAGAAATCTCCTCCAAGATTTTTATTCCCGGCAAATTGTTACAATATTTACTTTACGTTATGAAGTTTGTTCCACTTTGGAACGGTTTTCATATCCTAACTATGTAATTGTGAGTTTCGCTAACTACAATTCGCTAATGGGCTCCGAGGGCTCGGAGAGAACTTTGAAATAAGGCCATTAGTGACGCTGGCGACGTATCTGTCTTCGCTTTGTCGCCTTTAATTGATGTTTTTATCGAATTGTCCATCGTTTTTAATTTGTGTCGTTCGAACCATCGATTTCTCTTGAAATTATTATCTGTGGTGGACCAAATGGCGTTTGAAACCGTTCTAAAGGGAATAATTCGGAGTCTAATGAAAAATCCACAAGCATTCGTCAAACGAATTACTACAATTGTCATCAAATGCTCAACTATTCAATCTCGGAGAGGTTTTGCTCCAATTCTAGGTAATCTGGACGATTTGTCAGAGGCGGCGCTATAAAAACAGTATATAGAGGACCGTTAAATTTTAGTATTAAAGGAATTAATCAGGACCTTAATATCGTCGTTAGTACTGTCGTAAATGGCCCATAAAACAATCCAAGGATATTAGATTCGCTCTCGTTATCTCAGCGATGAGACCAGCTCAGATTTGTAGAGACCAAAAATGAATTTTAAGTGCGGCAGCTTTTCAAACAATTTATTTTAGATCTATTTAGTGTCAAATATACAATAATAAATGTCTCTTTATTACTTTGTGCAACATTTTATTAATTCCCATTCCTGCTATAATAAACAAACCACTTGAAAGCATTTCGATGTTAAAAATGCCGAAAGTATTAAAAATAATATGAAAATTAGAAGCCAGCTAAATTCCGTTTTATTCCAGTATTTCTTGTTAAAATTATGTAACATGTCAGTAAATTCGTCCGAAATTAGTTATGTCCACATTAGTTCCCCTCATCCGGCGTCGGAAATTGCAAATGAGCCCGATCCGGGTCCCCAAACACCTGTTCTTGGAATGGCATCCCGGAGTAATCCGGCGTTTTCGCGGCCGCACCACCTGCTCCGGAAGAGAGAATAATAATTGGCAGTGTCTCGACCCTCCATCTACCGTCAGATTATTAAAGATGGCTTCGGTTCCGGGCCCAATTACGTCAATAACAACTTTCAATTAGTGAATTACGACGACCCTCTCCTTTACGATTCTCTTTAGGGCCTTTGACGACGTTACTTAAATTAAGTTTTGAGGGTTAATTGGGCACAGGTGACTGTACTTATATCATAAAAATTTGCCATTTGACCCAAAATTTAGAAAAAGGGTTTGACGTAAATGTTATTTGGTTTGTTTGAAATGTGAATGTCACGACGCAAAAGAAAACTTTGCTTAGGGGAGAGTCGACGAAACCTCAACGCAAACTTCTCACGCTGAGTTGTTTCATTTTCTACAGTTTAAGGCCTGTCGGTGGTTTTCACTCGGCCACAGTGAGCACACGACAAGTCTAATTAATTTTTTAATTATTTCGAAGTGAAACAACGAAAATGTGTCTGCGGTGTTGGAGGAGAAAACCCAACTTAAAGCTCGGTGAAAAACACATCATTGTTTTTAAGTGATTTTTAAAACACTGTAACTTTGTTGCTTCAAGCATTATACACGTTGTATACAGGCTGTTCCGTTTAAACCCCACATTAAAAGTATTGGGAGTTCAAATAATCGTATTTATTTGAAAATTGGTACATAGCCATAATCCATTAAATCTTCCTAAATAAAAATATTTTCAAAATGACGGCACTTTCGATTATACCGGAAGTCGGTCTCAACTTTCTTCTTTTTAACGAAAAGCTATATTTTTTACTGCGTTTTTAGATTAATCGGGTTATTTTAAGGGATTTTTCCTTCCTTTCTATACCTAAATTTAGCCGTTTTTGAAATATTGTAATTTTTCAAAAATTTTTGGATCTGCACCTTCCACTTTAAAAATCGGTAACTGCCATTTGTTAAAATTTTGATTTCGTTTTTTTTTTTTGGCGTTTTAAAGAGAAAGCTTAGATCTTTCTTCAGGTATTTTCAAATTTTGAAAACAAAATTAACAAACCCCACAATTTTAAGGTTACTTTTGCAATAATTCAAATACCCACAACTAATTTTTTCAAATGTTTTTATTTTACTAAAAAGAAGAGAATTTAATTCTGCATCGATCTGTATTAACATTCCCTATACCAAAAGTTAATAATTGTCAAGTTATGGTTACTTTTTGTTAAGACTGCGGAAAATCTATTACTAGCCACACCCGTTTACATTCTCCATAAATACAAAATAAATTCATTAAATCTAGGTTTGAATAGCTTTGATTCTCCATATTTTGACACTATTTGTTAAATAATAATTCACTGTCGACATTTATTGAGAAACAATTTTGAGATTTTTTATTTCCATAGCAAACTATGCGAAAACAGGTGTGGCTAGTAATAAATTTTAGGATCGATGCACAATTAAATTCTCTTCTATTTAGTAAAATAAAAATTGGGGTATTTCATTTGGAAAAATTGAGTTATGGGTATTTAAAATATTTGAAAAGTAACCTTAAAATTTTAGGGTTTGTTAATTCTTTTTTCAAAATTTGAAAACATCAGAATAAAGATTTAAGCTTTCTCTTTCAAACGCCAAAAAAATGAAAGTTTAAAAGTTTAAGAAATGGTAGAGTTACCGATTTTTAAATTGGAAGGTGCAGATACAAAAATTTTTGAAAAACTCCAAATATTTCAAAAACGGCTAAATTTAGGTATAGGGAAACCTGATGAAGACTCCCTTACAATAACCCGGTTAATCCAAAAACGCAGTAAAAATATAGCTTTCCGTTTAAAATAAGAAAGTTGGGACCGACTTCGGGTATAACCGGAAGTGCCGCCATCTTGAAAATATTTTCATTTAAGAGGACTTAATGGATTATGGCTATGTACCAATTTTCAAATAAATACGATTATTCGGACTCCCAATACTTCTAATGTGAGGTTTAGACAGAACACCCTGGATATACAGGGTGTTTCACACAAATTTACGAGGCTAGACACACTAGATACAAAAATACACATTTAATTATTTAATTTTTGGAAACCCATGATAGTAGTTGGTAAACTAATCACTGTTTCATTAATAGTCATAAACTGCAGTTTTTCAGAAACAATTATCATTTGTTCTATCAAGAGACGGCATGAATATGATTCTAGTTTATCTATCTTAATCACTAACTAACTAAAAACGTTGTAATTTTGAACAAACTAGAGAAGATTATTCAATTTTTCTAAATTTGTAATCGAGTTCGTATCGGAATATGTATTATTGATTGCACCTTACAGGCGTAGGCCTCGTAAAATTATGTAAAACACTCTGTAGTTATATGAGAGGCAGTATACATATAAAAATATATTTTTTCCTAAATATTTTCATTTTTACTATTGTATTGTCGAAATAAATTTGAATTTTTGTTTGCCTTCGACCAACAATACCCGAAAGCCAACAAACAAGCCAGTAGTGTGTCCTAAGGGAATCAGCCGAGTTCGAGGAACACCTCGTCTTTGATAAACAAACAATTTTTGTTTTGAAATGCACGCGAGGTGATCGATGCAGAAGTAAGTGCATCGTTTAATGCAGTCCGGGGTCGCGGTTTCACGTAATCCCCTGTGTGCACTGTCTGAGTGCTCCATTGAAGGGCCTCCGAGACGTCTCGTCCCACAAAAGCGCATTAATCGCGTCATTAAAACACAAGCTGTCTTTTACCTGTGCGGCGACGTGCCCCGCCTCCAGACGCACCAAGTCCGTGTGACTCCAGGCACTCGTCGACCACGGCGAGACATTCCTCAGATCCTCGTTGAATTTAAAGTTTTTCAGTTTGTTGTGTAGGAATTTTCGTATGTTCCACGGTAGGTCGTTATGACCGTCGATTAGAGGCACTTCTTGGAGCAGTCGTGTCGCAAACTCCAAGCGTTCCTCGAAGGAGGCACTTGAGCTTATCTTTAAGGCGATAGGAACACCGACCCCAGCAGCCGCCGCTAGCAGCAACACTGTCACAATTATCCACCAGTGGCGCGTTGAGAGCTCAATTCCTGAAAATAAAACACGATTCGTGTTCGTTAACTCGCACTGACAATTCAATTTGCACGGACGAAAGATTTTCGCAGAATTATTTCATTTGGGGGATTTTATACACGGGGTTTTTCAAGTGGGATTTTTGTTGATTAGGAAAAAAATGCAATCGAGCGGTTTTCGGGATATTCGGTCGGTCTTCGGCGAAACGCTCTGCTGCCAATAAAAAGGATTAAAAATGACCACTCGTACATCACAGAGGATTTTTACATTAAAACGCATTATATTAAAAAAAATTTCTTCAGAATATGTTAACATTTGGCAGAGGTTTTTCCACGTTTTACTTTTTTTGAAGTTTTATTTAGATAAGTACTTTTTATATTTCTTATGCATGTTTTAACGTCTTTTACTAATAAAACACAAAATTATATTTTGAATTGATAAAAAATTAATATTAAAGTTGTATCTTTAAAGTGGAGGAAAGTTAGCACAAAATTTTTATGGGTAATTTTGCATAGAACTAAATGATTCAAAAGAACATCGAGTGAAAGTCTTTTTGAAACACCTTGTTTGTATCAAGTCAAAATCAAATCAAAACTTTAAAATTCCAGGTTTTTTGTTTAAACGATTAATTTTTTGACAAAACTAACTGAGGCATGATAAAGTACTATCAAAATGTAAAAATGGCTGTCCAGTGCTGCTTTCACCTACTTCCTTCTTAAAAAAATAGACTATACAGGGTGCTTACGGTCTTGAGGTTGAAATTTAAATAAAATGATATTCACGGTAGAAGAAAACTAGTGCGTTATATAAAATAAAAATGCACCTTGTGAAAGGAAATAATTTATTTTACAAGTATATTATTTGTTTGGGAACTGTTGCTTCAAGGGCTGCAACAATGGCCCTTAGTATCATTACTTGTGTTTTGCCGTAAATCATAATCACGACAACCAATTTATTGTTTTAATATTTTTATGTTAATACACCCTGTATATGTGGACACGCTATGGTATAGAATTTATCTAAAAATTAATCTGAAATTCAGACTTTGATCATCGAAATAACAATTCGAAGATTGAAACAGAAAAATAATTAGGACAAAATCCCAATACACCAAACTTTTTATTGCACGTCGACACATTTTATCATCGTTATATGATGCCAACTTGGTTGGTGAAAAGGATTGGTGTGTTGGGACTTTGTCTTAAATATTTTTCTGTTTAAGAGACGCACCAGGTTTCGTTTTCCGTTATGAATTCTAAGACTAAAGTAGATCATAATTTTTGCAAATAAACATAAATATTTAAGTTTTAAACTGTGGACTTTTTATCCGATTTGAAAGAAATTGTTGTTAGTAGTAAAAAAATCGTTTTATGTTGTTTTTTTTTGTGTGAGTTTAGTCCAGCTCTGGTCTCCCATTTTCCAAATTCAAATCGAATAAAACCAATCTAGACATGCATGTCTTGGGGGCCGAGGGACAATTAAGCTCCGCATAATCCAATATCCGGCAGTGTATAGTAGCGGAAGTAGTTGTTTCCCGTTCCTTCCGGACACACAGCAAGTAGCACCAACCTGCGGACACCCCATAATCATGATGAGTTATTGAATGCGGTCACCCTTTCGTAACGCAATTAAAAACTTGTCGGCCCGTCGAGCGCTTAATTGCTCACGAAATGGTGAAAAAAGCTCGCATTGTCATCGATTAAACACCCTCTTAAATCAAAAGTGTCTCGAGGTAGGGGAACCCCAGTAATTAGTTACAAGTGCGTTTTGAGGGAGCAATTGACGCGCCATTACGACATGAAATACAGTGGCGGCTTCGACAAGATGGATCCCAAAGCACAAATTAAGCGACGATATTAACATATTTTATGGACGACCGGATTAATCCGGGATTACTTAAACCGGGACTGAAAAACATGCTACGCGAGATGCTGCCATCTTGCAAATTTTTGCGTGTTGTGGGGAGTGATAAGAGGGTCCGGGCCTGTCTTCGCGTCTCTGAAACTTTGCAGGCAATTATTATCTTGACGGTTAACTGCTGAAAATTTGCATTAGAGAAGTTCCGCGGGGTTTGTTTGGAAATCATCGTGATTAAGGAAAATAATGAGCCTGATATCGGGCGCAGTGGTGTGGGAGACACGATTTGAAAGTCTAAAAAGGCCAAAGGAGATAATGTTTTCATAATAACTTTAGGTTCGAAGCGAGAACTGGCTGTAGTTTTCATGAAAAGTTTACTTTATTTTTGACGGTAATGGCTGAAATTGCATTTTACCAAGTACAAAGTACTTTTTATTTTTGAATTTATAAACTGGAGATTATACGGAATGTGGGTTTTGCATTAAAATGTTTGGGAATTAACGTAGAAGCTTGTTTTTCTTGAACGAAACGGATGTACACATTACAAAATAAATATGGGTAAATACACAGTGGCAGCTTTTACGTATCGATTTCATATAAGCCGAAAAAATGAGTTGCGTGAAGATTAAATGTAACAAGAGAGGCGGATGTAAGAAATATAAAATAAATGAAATAAGAATTTAAGATCAAAGAGCAAAGTTAAAGGCATTCGATAATGAAAAGAACTTGTTCCTGGAAGTTAAGAGGAAAAAGCTATAGAAAAAATTCAAGTCGATACCTATAAACAGGAAAATACAGGGTTATCACTTGCTACAATTCTATAGAATTTGAAAAAGAGGTTATAAGTATGTTTATAAATGAACAGTTTTTTATTCTGATGGCAATGTTTAAAAAAACATATTAAGATTTAGATGCAAATACTTTACAATTAATTATTAATGTCATAAAGCCGATATGAAGCAAATAACAGACGCGAATGAATATTATAAAATCGAGGCGATAGCCGAGTCTGTATCAGTATTGTGGCGTTTTTTTTGTAATCAAACTACAAAAACAGTTTTGTGAATAGACACAAATGAAGTTTTTCTGTATGGTACAAATGTCATCTTTACAGTTTACAAATTCATGCGCCGCCACTGATTTAAATACACATCTGCAGTTTTCCGGTATAATAAAAAAACAAATTGTGGCCTCCAATTCAACATGTTTCAACATTTTAGAAATTTAAAAAATAAGCAAAGTAAACAGAAATTAGCAACGAGTAAAATCATGCTGATACATCTATAATCCGCTTCTCATATTGTGTGTAAATAATTCCAACGGCCACGTGGGGTCATGGTAGGTGTCAAAACGGTATAAATAATTGACGTGGCGTGTAAACAAATATTGCTGTAGAGCCGATCAATTTACGCACGCATACGTATTAATAAAACCCGGTTAATTAATTGGCGTGAAATGTGATTTCGGCTTGTTGAAGGAAATAAAAAATTTCTTCAAAGGCGAGTTTTCAGGCGACGTAAGTCTCGTTTGATCCGAAATTTGGGCCGCTTTAATCCCGTCCATGTCAGAGTGTGAAATCGTGTCAACTTTCGTCGGAAAAACCGYAGCACACGTTAAAGGAAGCTTTGGATAACRAATTAATAGGTGATTCGATGGCAAAGTTTGGTGAGCGAAGCGATGCCAGCACTCCTAAACTAATTAATGAAATAAACGTCCCATACCGAATTAGTTTGACAAATAATGTAAGATGATTAGAGACGGAGACAAAAASACTCGGGCGACGTCTTGTGTATTCAGCTGTATTACCTATTTGGAGCTTTGCCGTCTAACAAATGGAAAATTTTCCTCTTCATTAACTCGGTTTACATCGTAGAATTCAGAATGTTTTATTGCTTGAAAGATACTCACACGACTTGAAACAATTAAAACTAGTCATTTGATTATGTAAATAATTTTGCTTTTTTTGTTCAAATCTAAAATCGGCCAAAAATTGCTCACTTCCGGCCCAAGTGCGTGTGATGTGAGCATCCAGTGTGAAATTTTAATGGCGGCCTTTTCAGCAACTTCCTGAAAATAAATTACAGCACACAATGTAAATGTTTAAAATGCTTGTTGCAGATTATGACAAAAATTCGAAATCGATGAATGCGTAACTGCGCACTTTCGGACATATTAATTACTCTAGGCATGTAAATTTTATTATTCAAAAGGGAAGTAACAGTTAACTTTACGACAATTCTCAAACAACCCAATAAAATCTGAAGAATTAATTAGCTTACTCGCGATTTGAATAAATTATTATCGGAAACAAAGTCACTTTGCTACGTTGATAAGAGGTATTTTACCAAGAATATTAAACAGTATAGTAGGTCACAGTGGATTACTGTTGTCGTGTAATATTACATGTCGGTAGGGTAATTTATGTAATGCTAGATGTGTAACATATCTTACATATTATAGTTTTCCTGTTTTACTACTCCGACCGTATTACGCACAAACTGTTATTACACGGGGTGGGATTTAACGGATCGTAACTCTTGAGGTTGGCGGACTTACATATTTCATATGCAAGGGAAAAATAAATAAATTGTAACGTTCTCCATTTGTTTTGTTCTAGAGAGACAAATTTCGAGCTATTTAGGTTGCAACAGTAAAATTTACTTATCGTCATTAATCTGATTTTGCGGTTTTATTCAGAAACATATTACAAACTTGTTGTTAATATAACAATCTGGATCAATAAGAACGAAAAACAGAGGGCGTAAATAAGCCTGATCTAGTATAACTTAAAATAAAATTTATATTTTTTTCTACACAAAACTAATGAAAAAATTAATCATCGATTAACAAACCATTTAGTTTCCATAGTGTTTGTCGAATTATTTCTAATGTTGATATTTTTATATAGRTAATACTAGAGTTTGTAACATTTTTATAATTAAGATTGTTAACAATAATGTTTTGTTTTTGGAAACTACGAGTATTTATATGTATTTATAAATAGCTAATGTTTTTCATTAAAAAAAATACTTTCTGAATTTTCATGTTTTAAAACTGTAATGTATGTGGAGAATTATATTTCCATTGTATAATTGTAATTATATTTCTATCATTTCGTATAAAAAGTTTTTGTTTATTACACATTTATGTATTAAACAAA